CTTTGAGAGCTAATAACACAGCCCGTATTCTATCAAATTGTATGATTTTACATTTTTCTGAAAGCCAAAGACCTTTTCTACAATTCGTAGTCGTTACATTTTTGAAAAATAAAGAAGAAAACATTTTAGACGAAGATAAAAGGTGCTTCAGTTGAAAATCTACCGTGTTGCATGAAAGGAGCCAAGGTGCCGCATGACACGCCACGCGTGGCGCGCCCACCGACGCTTGGCGCGCCCACCGACTTTTTTTTTCCTCTCAACTTGTCATCGCAGGGTGCCGTGAGAGGTATCAAAAACCTGTCAACTGATAAGATGTTAGTGATATTATGATCCCCGAACTTAACTTTGAGCTTAATTGTCTCAATTTCTATAAAAGATATCAAAAATCTGTCAACTGATAACATTTTTGTCATACTATCACCAATATTTTGTTTCTTTACAAGTTTTTAGTATCTGTTGTAGGAAACCAGATAAAATGGGTCAAAACTGACGCCATGAATTCCTTCTGTTACCATTTTTCAAAATTACTGTTTCAGCCAAAGTTTAAAAAAAAGTCAGACTTTCGAAGTTTTGAAAGTTTTGAATTTTTCGAATTTAAAAAAACCATTTGAAAATTAAGAAATTTCGGTAGAGCGCATTTTCATACTTTTCCTTTAAACTAATTTTCACTCCCTTTAAACTAATTTTCAACTTAAAAGAAATTTCCAAAAAAAATATATTTCATGAAATGAAGTTACGACTATTCGTTTGGTCATTAGCTTGGGAAAACAATTCTAATTATCAAAAATAAATGAAACAGTAAAAATAAAAGTACCGTATTAGGTATTATATCCGGAGTAATATTTCATTATTCTGTGACAAATGAATCAAGAAAAAAATCATCAAAAATCAGAAAAAAAGAGGTGGCGCCAGAAAAAAAAAGACGAAGAAGATGCAAACCCATTCATTTCCGGTTTTTATTCTTTTTTTAGATCTTTTAGGTAATTATCTAATTACCTTTTTAACTCAAAATTTTTGTTTCGAGGAATTTGAAACAGTAAAAATATATTTTAAAAGTGGAGGAAAAGAAGGAGAAAGGTGAAAGGTAATATGAAAAAAGAAGAAGAAGAAAATGAAAATTATGATGAAAAAATGTAGTCGTCACACCTTTTCTCTTTTTTTTCTGTATGAGATTAGATTGATGAGATGGTTGATATTGATGACAGGTTGTCGGAATGACGACTATTCTTTTTGATCATTTTTTGTCTTTTTGGGTGCAATTGGGGGAATTGGAGAAGAAGATAGATTAAAAGAATCACGGAAAGGTGTGGAAACCATGTGGTAAAAAAAGATTTTGACTCAATTAATCTGAATTTCTGTAAGATATACATCAATCTTGAGAAATGAAAAAAATATTGGTGATATTCTGATAAACTTTGGCTGAAACAGTAATTTTGAAAAATGGTAACAGAAGGAATTCATGGCGTCAGTTTTGACCCATTTTATCTGGTTTCCTACAACAGATACTAAAAACCTGTAAAGAAACAAAATATTGGTGATAGTATGACAAACATTTTATCAGTTGACAGATTTTTGATATATTTTATAGAAATTGAGACAATTAAGCTCAAAGTTAAGTTCGGGGACTTTCTATTACAAGTTACTGATAAATTATTTACCATAATATCACTAACATCTTATCAGTTGACAGGTTTTTGATATCTCTTACAGGAACTGAGATAATTGAGCTCAGAGTGAAAGTGTTCTAGAGGAGCAATTACGGTATTTGAAGAGCAAGAGAGACCCATTTAGTCTGATGCTTTTAAAATTCTCATTAGAACGCGTTTCTGTTTTCCTAGTTTTATATTTTCCAGGAAACTTTATTTGTTGGCTTGACAAAAAAAATTGCGCAAATATATTTTAAAAACAAGACCGAATTTCTTTGAAACAGAAAATTTTTTTTTCAAAAATTTCCATAAATTTTCCTTAAAACCCCTTGTGGACACTCATCACAAGTTGTGATATAACTGGCTCTTCCTAGATGAATTCTGAAATTTTTTTCGACGGCTATTCTATTGATAATTGATGATTTATTGATCAGAAGAAAATATGGCAAAAAAGTTATAACGGGAGTTCTAGATAAAATCCCTAACGAGATGAACCTAGAGGCTATTGCATAACTGAACATTTTAGTTATTTTCAGGAATTTTGAAAGCATTCAAACTTGTCTTTATCAATCATTGCTGGAATAGTAACACATTAAAAAAAAACTTCAGAAACTGTAATCTTACTTACTCATCTGAAAAAAAAATCTTTAAAATCTCACCTGCTCATCTGATAACACTCAGAAATCCAAAATCAGCTGTGTCGGTGCAATGAGATAATTAAGCTGAAAGTGAAAGTCCTTAGATGAGCAATTACGGTATTTGAAGAGTCGCGATGTGACGATAGTTCCATTTTTTCCAGGTTCAATTTGTGGCTTGACACGGAATCGCGTTAGAAACTTTACAACACTGAATATATTTTTTGAAACATGATCAAATCTTCTTGAGACAGAAAAAATTTTTCGAAAAATTTTGAATTTTTTTCATAAACACTCTCTGTAGGTGCTTATTACGAGTTGTGATATAATTGGCACGGAACGCATGGCGTCCACTTGGGCCCAATTTATTTCGTTTTCTATGAGAGTTATCAAAAAATATGTAACACCGACAATGTCTGTGAATGTTTTTTTAAACATGATCAACTCTTCTTGAAACAGACTTTTTTTTGAATTTTCTATGAAATTTTCATAGAAATTGTGATATAACTTAGTAGATGAGATTTGTTGAATTTCGGGATTTTCCCATTGCTATTGCATGACTAAAATTTATTGTTTTGTTTCAAATTTTGGAAAACCGGAACTTTCTTGTATCAAATACAGTGCGCGTCATAATGATAGCACCACCCCATTTTTCGAGGTATTCAGAAAAACTAAAAATTTTGGAGAAAAACGGCTAATGCCATTAGATTCAGCACCCCAAAAAACCTATGTGTCCCCTGAATCAAGTACCAATCAAATGTATTAGGACTACAGTAACGAAAAGTCTCTCTGCACACGGCGTCAAAATGATAGCACCACCCTGAAAAACGGAAAATCTCATGTTTTTTGAGAAATAAACTGCGATATTAAATCTTGAATAACTTTACTCCTAGGTAAAATTTTGAGCTGAAATTCATAGGTAATATCTTGAAAATGCTCGTAGTCACGTTGCAACTGTTCATAACATTCATGAGCTCTGGTTGCTCATAATTGAGCTCGAGCTTTGAACTGAAAAAATACGCCAAAAATGAAATTTTTCAAAGACGTGTAAAACGTTCAAAAGATGTTGTCAGTAACCCTTTTGAAATTATGATTTCGTACAGAAAAATAACTTTTTCTTGACAAATTCAGTTTTTTAAAGAAAATCAGTATCCCCGAAATTCGAGGCTCGTTTTCGAAACTTCGGTTTTCCTCAAATTACAAACGACGAATGATAGCCTGAAAACAACTAGTAGACACTAAAAAGTTCGAAAACCAAAAAAGTTCGAAAATGTCTGAAAATAATTTTTTCTAAAACTTGGTAGAGACATTAATTTTTGTCCAGACTGTCAAAACAGACTGTTTTAAGACTACCTATTTTAACAAATTCCAACAAAAATATCGCAGTTTATTTCTCAAAAAAACATGAGACGTGGTGCTATCATTATGACGCGGTGTGCAGACAGACTTTCGGTTACTGTAGTCCTAATACATTTGACTGGTACTTGATTCAGGGGACACATAGGTTTTTTGGGGTGCTGAATCTAATGGCATTAGCCGTTTTTCTCCAAAATTTTTAGTTTTTCTGAATACCTCGAAAAATGGGGTGGTGATATCATTATGACGCGCACTGTACTTTTGAAATAGTACAAATTTTCGAAATTTCAGAAACAGCAAAAATCTTTAAAATCTTACCTGCTCATTTGATAACAGCTGGAAATCCAAAATCAATTAAATCGGTTCATTGATTGGTGGGATTACTGAAATTGGGGATTAATAATTGGAACATTCGATTTTTTGGAACTAAAGAGATGGTTATAATAGAGAGTTTTTCAATTCAAATTTTTGCAAAATTAATATATTTGCTGCCTTATAACATCATTTCTATTAGAGCGCATTTTCATTTTTCCAGCTTTATCAAATTTCATTGTTTCTAGAAAATAATTTCTGGAAATTCATTGTCCATAAAATGCTTAGATGGCAAGTTATCAAATTTTGCAGTTTCCGAAGCTGCTCAACTTTTGGGAAAATCCTGCAGAAAATATTTTTTTCAGAAAAAAAATTTAAAAAAATTGTTTCAGAAAAAAAAATTTAAAAAAACAAAAAATTCCAAAATTGTAAGATTTTCCACTAAATTTTCTGGAACAATTGAAATTTTTTTGAAAATTTTGGAAATTCAAAATTGAAACCACTAGAATATTGTTCCTTTTTGCATCTCCATGATTTTAAAAAATTTTGAAACAGTAATTTTACTTTTAAAAAGTTTTTTCTCCAATTCAAACTTCTAGTTATTTCCCTCGCTTTTCCGAAAATTTCTCATTAAAATTTGCTAAAAATATTTGCATAAATATCCTAATGAGGAGCTGCCTGCCCCGTACAAACGAGACCAATTAGAGGGGCTCTCTTTTCTGACGCCTTCTCAAATTCTAGAAGATTCGACGTCTTCTTCTTTTTTCGTATTATACATTTTTGGATATTACTAAAAAATACAATGAAATTATTTCTTTCATTTTTGATTTTTATGATTTTCGGATCAATTGAAATTTTTGGGGTGAGTCGGGATTTTGAATGAAAAAATTACAGTTTCACAGAAAAATCAATTACAGAAATCTTGATTTTTTCCGCTCTCATAAAAGATATCAAAAATGTACCAACTGACAAATCACTTCTGATATTATGAAAATATATCAGTTAACACTTTTTTGATGTCTTTAACAGGAACCGAGAAAAATTGCTATCAAAGGCCCTTCTATTACAGGGTATACGGTTAACTCGGAAAAATTATAATCTGGAAAAAATCCTTATCATAATCATGACGTTTCTTCAGTTCCAAAAAATTGAATGTTCCAATTATTCTGCTCCAATTACCGTAATCCCACCAATCAATGGGCCGACACAATTGATTTTGGATTTCCGACTGTTATCAGATGAGCAGGTAAGATTTTGAAAATTTTACTGTTTCTGAAAATTTCCAAAATTTGTTACTATTTCAAAAGAAATTGATGTTCCACTGCGTTTTCAATTATTAAACAAAACGGAATTTTCCAAATTAAAAGATTTTCAGTTATGCAACAGCCGTCGAAAAATTCCAAAATTCAACAAGTTGCATCTAGGAGGAGCCAGTTACATCACAACTTGTGATGAGTGTCCACAGTAAGTATTAAGGAAATTTTTATGGAAGTTGTTGAAAAAAAAGTTTCTGTTTCAAAAATATTTGGTCAGATTTCAATAATATTCACAATCAGTGTTGAATCGAGTAAAATAATTATTGAAAATTTCGGAAAAATATTCAATAGGAGTAATGAAAACGCGCTCTAATGAGAATTTGAAAAGTATCGGCTATTATGAGGCTATTATGATAAACGTTGGTTGAAACAGTAATTTTTCGAAATTATGACAGAATGAACCCATTGCGTGACTTTGACCCAATTTTTCTCAATGACTGTAACAGATATCAAAAA